AATCACCTTCCAACGGCACTCGCTACTGCAGAACGCTTTGTATCCACTACAAATCACAAACCAGGACAGTGATGTATAACAAGATGTTTCCATTAGTGTGTAATTTGATTAAATTTCAAAAGACTAACATGATAAGTACAATACCACATGTCCTAAGCTAGATAACAAAGCTTTGTAAGTTCCAAGATTCATGCTTGAGAGTTTCTAGTTTGGGCTCAAAAGTTTCGAAAGTTCGAGACTTTTTATCTTAATACACACCAATGCAAAGAGAATCAAGAACCAGTTTCAAAAGATGATTTACCTGTACATGTATATGTCTTTCCCCATACCCAACTTCTTGGTACAAGACCAGCAGAAGCTCAAGAAGTCACTGGAACGAATCAGATCATCCGCTGTGTTCAACTCAAGAGGAGCAATTACAAAAAGGCTCTCTTTCTTGTTCCCACAACAACCTTTCTTCATCCCATTGTGCTCGACCGTCTCCAGAACCTGATCACCGTAAAAATGGGTGATTTTGGGGTTAGAACCATGAGAAGTAACACAAGTGTAGTCCTCAGAGATCTCAATGTCACTCCCAATATCCCCATCAAGTGATCCTGATCTTTGTTCCATCACCTGACAAGCATTATCGTTCTTCACACCGATGTTCCGGTTAGAGCTACCGACCTCAATCACATCAACCTTTTGTGTGACGATTTTGGCAAATGGTTGTACATGAGGTTTGTGGCACTTGGGATAGTTTCCATTTCTCATCAAGGAGCCAAAGATGATGTTTTTACTATCCGGTGAAGGAAGAAGAATCCTTGATGAATCAATGTGGTGATCATCAAGAGAATCCAAGATACTCAAGCCTACTTTACCAGAATCCCAGCTCTTCTGATGCATTTTCCGGATCGACCTCGAAGGGAAAGACCCACCAAAAGGATTCCCAAAACTGGAGAAAACCCTGAAATCAAGAGGAGAAGTTGGGCTCCAAGCTGTTTCGTAATCTGATGGTGACTTCCCTTCCAACACAGTAGCGATGATTCTGTGGCTCTTGAGACCAGACAAGTCCGGTTTGTTCGAATTGAAATCGGAACCAGAGACCATTTGGTTGTTGGAATGTTGAGACATGATTGATCTGCGTTTCAGAAAAGAGTGAAGCTTTTAGATGATTGATCAAAAGCTCGAAGCATTGATTAAACAAAGGAAACGTTTCTTTCTTCATATGACGACGAATCAATTTCACGAAAGAGTTTTAGTAACTCACAATGTCGGAAAAAAAGAAGCAAGCTTTAATATTCGATTAAGCAAAAGGAAAATCTTTGGAGAAAACAAAAAAAAACCCAAATGAGATTGAGAACAAAGATCGATTGAAACTCTCACTGAGCAAAAGAAATCGTTTTCCGTACAAATGAAAGGATCATCGAAAGAAGATAGATTACTTAAAAATTAAAAATTAAAACCCCAGAAAAGCT